TATTTTCTTACCATCTAACACGAAGCTCACACGCTCAAATCCATTATTTTAGTCAGACACATAAACGCTAAATGGCATTCGTATAAGTTATAACAACTTTCTTTGTTCTACAAGTGAATGCCACCTAATCAGGTAAAATACTCGACGTTTTCAAATCATGTAACGTAAATGTTGTAGAGCTTCACAACATGAAAATTTTCTTTTTTCACTACAGTTGCAATTTTTTCTTTTATAGCTGTTTTACATGTACCCATCTTTTGTCATCCATTTTACTTATAAACACCTAAAATCTATTCATATTTATTTATGCTAATTGAAATTCATTGATTTTGAGTACTTCAAGTACATTTCTAATAGATTCTTCCCTCTTCAGATTAAAGTGGACAGTGAATGAACAGAATAAATTAACAAGTGCAATGTCCCATGCAACAACAATACTTGTTTTATGAAACAGACCATCTAAAATTAGCATACATTATAAAAATAAATGGGTATTCTTGTTAAAGATTCAACTATTACTCAATAGTTTGAGGATGTTGTTTATGAAAATAATCTTCTAATTCAATCATTTTTGGTTAAATGGTAAATCTTCATTATTCATGGGCCTATTATTTATTAGAATTTATTTTCTGGTAGTTTTTTTTATTTTCTATTATTGCCAATCATAATTAAATATGTTTTTGTTTTGATTTCTACCTCGAAATAACACCCTTTTCCAATAGAATGATCAATTATATTTTGATTAAAACATTTTTCACACTTCCATAAATTATATACTGCTCTGTGTTTACAGATATTTTAATGTAACACCAACCTTGATGTTTGATTCTGTTGATCTGGTTAACCGTCTCCTGCAGTATGGCACACTTGTCCGGTTTGACGGACAAGGAACTCATGTCAGTAAACCTAGCAGAGATCAGTTCTGCCAGCTCTTCAATGTAAGTATTTTCTTGCTCTCGACGGCGTTTTTCATTAAGGCACTTGTTCCTAAACATAAATAGAAAAATTAGTAAAAGAAAAAACTAGTAAATATTATCAGTAAATATTTATTTTTTATTTTCTAACTAGAAAAAAAGAAGAAGAAGCAATTTCTGAACTCATGAAAGAATTTAGAAATGTATTAACCCTTTAGGCATTCCCATCACCATCTGGCATACACAGAATTTGATTTCCCAATAGAAATGCAAAACGAACACATAAAATCAATAAGATAAAGCCTAATCTGTACAGATGGCAATCTCAGCTGCTGAAAACGCATGATGTTGTTATACAAAACATTAGTAATATGTACAGTTCAAAATCGTTTGATTTTTATGAGAAAACAGACCCCAAAATTGTATCAAGTCGCCCCAGTGTTTTCAAAACTGAGAAGATAAACGAACTCGTGCAAGCTGACAATGATTCTGGCTCTAAACCTGAATTATCTTATGATGATTTTGAGTATATGATTGACTGAAAATTAAAATTAAAAATTAAATTTAAGAACTTGTTTTTTTAATTTGAAGAGAAGGCTAAACTAACTCCACTACTACAGTTTTCTACAAACACTCTCAGCAAAATAAAATGGAATACAGGAGTAAAAATGTAACGGGGGTTCAATTTCTTTTATTTTTTACAACTTTATTAATAATAACACAGTAACAAATATTATACTGTCTCTACTCTTTTATTTCAGGTGAAAAACAAAACTAAACAGATATGCCTTGTATTATAAATGCATCACAACTTATATTTTTGAATTGCCAAAGAATGAATAATCAAACTTAAGTTCCTGCATAAACTGGTTATAATAAAAATTGATTATCTTTAATAATAAATTCCAGTGCAAATTTACTTTAAAGCTATATTACCAAGGTATTATACAGTAGTGTTAGAGCAATTTTAAAAGCGGGGTAACCATCATAAATGAAGAAATTAAGAGACAAAATCATGGAAATCTAGTGCATTTTTATTACTCATTTTTTCCAAATCTAAAATATTTTCACACATACAAAGAAATGAACATCCTTGAAAGTAGCTCCTGGTTTATTCAAATTTACATATGTTTTATTCGAAGATGTAGCTGACAGTAACAATTGCGATTAATCTATTGTTTCATCACCAACATTTAAAATTTTATATTGCGTAGACATCTACTAAAATATAAATTGATTATCTTCAGTAATTACTTCCAGTACAAATGTATTATACAGCAACGTTAAACAGGTACTACAGAGTAACTTATACAAGTGTGAACAACAAACAGGTTTAGTAAGTGAAGCCTTATATTTTGAATATCATTGCTAGAATGTGAACTTGGCAAAGTTTATCCACTGATGTTAATGAACACGGAGAAGCACAATCATGTAATAATATACATATAGATAACAGTGTACAAATTTTCTAGAATATGTAGATAGTATTTGTTATACTTGAAGCAAAAAATTAACATAAAAACTTAAATTCAATGAATATGAAACACTCTACAGAGCTGTCACCTTTTGTACAGTCAAAAATACTGTTGAAACATAATTTCGTAAAAGCGTAAAATGCAAAAATTTTTACAATAGACGTACAGAATCATAAACATGAAATGCAAAATTTGTAAGCTCATTTTTGTTTTTAAAATCTAATAGCTTACAAAACAGTCAAAGGATACTCTGATCACTCTCCGAACAAGTATGGATAGAATAAAGAAAAAAAGTAGCTACACAAAATTAATATCTTTGATACTCACAATTGCGACTGTGGTTTGTTGTCTGATTTTCTGCGCTTCTTAGTCACTACATTAGGGACAAAACTCATGGTAGCTTAAACCGAGTAGTGGTAAACATTACGAGGGTGGGTCCTGCAATAAAACAAGAAGCAATACTCTATCAGCCATTTAATCCTAAATAATTCTGCAAAGTAAACCTTCACCAAAAAGTTTTCTATTGGAGATCCCAGTGGCTTATCCACTCTGCCAAATTGGTTTTTAGCTTAAAGTTGATAGTGCTCTCTTTTTAGGGTGTTTAAAGATATTAAAAAAAAAGTACTATGCTATACAAATGTTCTTAGAATTTGATGTCTGACTAGAATAATAAAAAGATGAAAGAAAAATTTTTTTTACAGTTTAATAATGCTTAATTTTAATTGTTAACATGATAATTATACACATAGAAGTTTCAACAAATTTAAACAAAACTTCTTACGTACTTGTATCATGAGGACTGCAACAGTTAAGAAGAAATAAAACGAAACCACCAACATTTTGAAAAAAAAAAATTAAAAAGACTACACTAAAGTTTAATTTGACTAAGCTTGATAACACACACACACACACACATATATAGATTGAAATTTCCTAATAATATACTTCAAATTAAAAATCACTAACTGTATTCTCATATTCCACTTTCAAAAGCTCCAAAATAATTTTTAATCTGGTATGATAACAATATGTTTGATGATTTGTATACTAAAAATCCCACAATTTTGTAATGATGCAAATGGTCCAGAATAGGGTGGTTGGAATTAAACACAAAGCTAAACGATGGGCTATCTGTTCTCTGCCCACCATGAAATAGCAATAATCTATATACATATATAATGTATAATAATTAAAATGTGACTGTATTTTACAAAATACTAGTCGACTAAAACACAGCCAAGAGAAGTTACTTTGTATAGACCAAAGGTCACCTTTATGTTATTTGATACGGTAACATAAGTGCACGTGATTCGTGTTGTTGTAACTTCTGTATTGTTAGCCAGGCATGGGTGAAAGGTCAATATAATAAAAATAATAGATATATATATATATATATATATATATATATATATATATATA